GGGTGGAGTTTAGTGAGCTGTCACCACTTCCCAGTTGAGAATGTTGGCGGTTGCTGTTTCCACCCTGTACCTGATGAGAGGTTTACTGTCTGTGGCCAGGGCATGTTCACCCAGTTGAGGGATTCCTTTGTGATACTTACTGCCTATAATTTTGCTGCCTTTTGGCATCATTTTTTTAAATTATTTATTGTTCACATATCCAAAAAAATTACAAACCAATGATATCTCACAGATGGGGTGATGGATAATACACGTACGTGTAGGTAAGGCACAACTGTAAAATGGTAGCAAAATAACAGATACAGCAATCAAGAATCATCAAGTCAGACAGTAGGTGCCCATGAGGCAGGATCCTAGGTTCCAAGGCATGTTATGTAGGTACCCAATTCAGATGGCTGACCGGGGTAACCCAGATATCGGATTCCATTATAGTCGGTTAACACGCGGTAACTCTAAAAAACAGTATTAATGTTAAAAAACCTGATTCAGTGACCAGTAATTGGAAGATCCCAAATGAAAAGGGAAAACAAAAGCAGGGGTTGCTAAAGAGAAATCAGAAAAAGAGAAGAGGAAAGGTAGAAATAAAGGAGCAGTCATCTGTCTCCCAGTCCTAGGCACTTCAGAATTACCTCAGTGGGAGGCTGGCAATTCGTTTAGGTATGCATCAGTGTACACAAAATAGTTCCACGGGCGCCAAGTGTCCTTATAGGATTCTGCTGTATATCGCACTGTGCCCGTAAGTTCCTCCATATCCTGGAGCAGATTGACTCTAGCAAACAACAGAGCCTTCGAGGGTGGATCATTGCTCCTCCAATACACTTTATGTTGGGGAATTAAGAACTCAATGGACTTTATAAGCACTACAAACAGTGGTTTGCAAAATGTGACTCTTTATTAAACATATACAAAATAGTAGATACATATAAAACAATTCTAGTTACGGAGTATGTTAGAACTCTGTACAGTTAAGGTCAACGCAGATTCATAAAGTGCTAGTAACTCCCACATAAGCAAAAGTATGCCACAAGTCGGCAATAACTAAAGAGGGATACTTATTAGATGATAATGGGGGTGATGATGTTTCGCGATCATATAGCTTCTTCAGGAACTGTGAGATTTCTATGTAAAAACATACAAACTTTTGCGGCCTCGGCGGCGTGATGCCAGCACGGAAAGGCTCCCCACTGTCGCGTTTAATGCTGACGTCACGCCGCCGTGGCCACATGTTGGTCCGGCAGCCATCTTTAACACTGTCTTAGTAAGCTTGATCTATATGCTACAATTACTTGGATTGTTTTGCCGAATTTGATTTAAAAATTACTACACTATAATACCCATGTCTAGTGGCTTGATTAATGAGCCATTTAAGGTGGAGGATTAACTTCTGACAGTATTGGTGCATCTTGGCGATATTTGATGTTAAGGAGCTGTCCCCCCTTGCTGGAGTGGTCCATTAGTGATGTCTGGAATGCTTCCCCTGCTTTGTGTATGTGCCAGTGGAGCCCCCTTCTGCCCCTGACCAGATCCATGATGACCACCAGGGTCCCTTTTGGAGATTATTGTTATATGCGCATTTAACTTGCGCTTCTGGTAAGTGCAAGCACATACCTATTTGCCACCATTTGAAGTCAGGAGCACTGGAGTTATTTCCACATTCCTGCTTCCCAGTCACTGGAACCACTGTTATATTTGGAATATTGCAACAATCACTTTTTTGATTTCTTATCCAGTCACAAGTGTACTGGAATATGGATTGTTGAGCACTGTAATAGCACTTTACGAACTTCATTATTGATTTATATATGTATATACATCTAATGTCAGATTTATTGATATATTTGTGCATATTTATTTTATTTCAGTTTCATCCATTCACTTTATCACTTGTCACTTTATAGAGTTTATTTTTACGCAGTTATTGCATTGTTTTCACTATATAACTTTATCATATAAGCGCTGCATACTTGTTGACCATGTGCACATAGACACATAAGAAAACATAAAGGAGAGTTCAGGGGCTGCTGAAAAAAATGCGAAACTGCTCCTGAATGTCAGTTTAGCAGCTGCAGTGTACATGAGCCCTAAGGCTCCGTTCATACCTATGCAGTTTGCTTGTCAGTTTTCCAGTGCTTTTCGCAGTTCATTTTGTGTTTTTCTACATGTGTTTTACAGCATTTTGCATTTTGTTCAGTTTTTTTTTTTTTTACAGTATTTTTTTTTTTTTTTTTTGCTGGGCAGAATAGAAATGCAAAAACGAAAAATGCAAAACTACCATGCATTTCAACAGATTCTCTATTGAACTCTATTGTAGCAAAAACATTGCTTTTGCTTTTAAGAAAAGTCCCTGACCCTTTCCAAAAACGCAGCAGCTCAAAAAAACATAGATGTGAATATGTTCCATAGGAAACCATGTTAAATGTCTGTGAAAACTGATACAATTCAAAATAAACAGGAATGAATACAATTAACAAAAAGAAATACAAATGATACATTTCTGTTACCTAATGAAAACTGCTACGCTGTATGTTAGAGACAAAAAAAGATATAATCAATGTTTTTTTAATTGTCAACCCAGTAATGCCAACAGGTTTGCAGATTGCATCAACTTAAACTTCATATCTCTCATGAGCAGGGGCAGACTGACTATTTGGAAACTCGGGCACTGCCCGAGGGCCCAGGGTCAGTAGGGGGCCCCATGAGATGCCCCTTGGTACCTTTTTCATAGGCTTTTTTGAGTCGGGCAAGGACACGGCCCCATGATCCCCTATTGCCCGGGGGCCCCATGAGTTGTCAGTCCGCCCCTTCTCATGAGCGCACTATTTTCAGCAGGACCTGCCTTCTTCTGATCCCATATTCTCTTGTATACTGTATATGTGTGACTAAGCCTAGGTTTACACCACTGCATGTCACGTTTGATGCGTTTTTCATGCGCTTTTTGCGTTTTTTAACACGCATTTTTTACATATTTTGCTTTTTTTTGCCAACAGGAAAGTATTGACTTTGATGCAACTTTGATGCGGGTGTGACTTTGATGCGACTTTGGTTCAACTTTGGATGGGCGTGACTCTGATGCGACTTTGGATGGGTTCAACTTGGATGCGACTTTGGATGGGTGCGACCTGGATGAAACTTTGGATGGGTGCAGCGTGGATGAGACTTTGGAAGGGTATGACTTGCATGCAACTTTGGATGGGTGTGACCTGGATGCGACTTTGGATGAGTGCAAGTTGGATGTTACTTTGGTTCACCTTTGGACAGGCGTGACTCTGATGCGACTCTGGATGGGTGCGACTTGGATGCGACTTTGAATGGGTGCAACCTGGATGAGACTTTGGATAGGTGCAACCTGGATCAGACTATGGATGGGTATGACTTGGATGCAAGTTTGGATGGGTGTGAATTGAATGTGACTTTGAATGGGTGTGATCTGGATGCGACTTTGGATGAGTGAGACTTTGATGTGACTTGAATGCAACTTTAGATGGGTGTGACTTGAATGTGATTTTGGATGGGCACCACTTGGATGAGGCTTTGATGCTACTTCTACATGGATCTACAATTTGATGTAAAATCTACATAGATGTGAATCTTCCAGAGAGTGTATGGAAGTCACCTCCACTTGAATTTTCCCTAAGGCTCCATTCACACTTGTGCAACTTCAAAATCGTGCAATTTGCATTGCGACTTTGGGGTGACGTTGGCTTTGACCAAGGATGATTGTTTGTGCTGTATAAAGTGGCACACAAGTCACATGTATCTCATTCAGGTGTGACTTTCATGTGACTTTGGAGGGTTTACATTAAAGTCTACAGCCCTCAAGTCACATGAAAGTCTGACCAAAGTAATGCAGGATCTACTTTCAGAGTCCAGGCAACTTGAAGCTGCACAGATACAAATGGGACTACTCACTAGGAAACATGGGGTGTGACTTGTCATGTGCTTTTGCACCACAAAGCCGGATGACAAGTCACACAAGTGTGAATGGGCTCACAAGCACACCATAACACATGCAAGAATGCATGTCAACGAATGAACTCTTAGATTGTAAGCTCCAAGGATCAGGGCCCTCCTAACCCTCTTGTATTGAACTATATTGTTACTGTATTGTCTCCCATCATATTGTAAAGCGCTGAGCAAACTGTTGGCGCTAATAAATCCTGTATAATAATAATAATAATATGCGTTCCGTAGACACATTGCAGTGTGAATGGAATATAGCAACAACTTTTATTTGTCCTCCAGTCATTCCACACCCCTCCCAGATACAAACAACACATTGATAAAAGAAGGTCCACGATTCCTTATAAAGTTGGAAGAGCTGCAATAGCACATCACTCCCGCCTTCCATTCAACGCTGATCACATGATCACAGCCATTAACCGTCTGTCACTGTTGTAATCCAACCGGCATACCTGTGCCACAAAGACAGCCAATCACAGCTCGCTACTCTATCGTCAGCAGAGAGGAGCAGCTTAGGCTGCGATCCTACTGGTGGTTGGGTGAAGGGGTCCTATTGGTTGATCAAATCAGGGTGGGCGGGAATACAGGCGGCAGGGAAGTGTTGTCCCCGGTTACCAGTACACAGCTGTCGGCTCAGGCTGTAATCCTCAGTGTCCGGGCTCAGTACACGGGTATGTCACGTGAGCACGGCTCCGCTGCTGACGTTCCTTACATGCTGTTATTATGAGTGAACTTGTCTTCTTGTATTTATATGTGTAGGTCCCAGTGCTGGCCTAGAGAGCACGTCCACCAGCAGCTATGGCCCATCGCTTGACTAAAGAGGAGCTGGATGAGCAGTTTGAACAGTTTCTGAAAGAGGTAACCATGACTGCTTTCTGTTTGAATCGATTATTTCTGAAGGGCTCATTCACACTATAGCCACTAAGGTTTGGGTCACACCTGTGTGTGGCAGGGGCGGACTGACCATTTGGAAACTCGGGCACTGGCCGAGGGCCCGGGGTCAGTAGGGGGCACCATGAGATGCCCCTGGTACCTTTTTCATAGGCTTTTTTGAGTTTGGGCAAGGACACAGGGGTCCCATGATCCCCTATTGCCCGGGGGGCCCCATGAGTTGTCAGTCCGCCCCTGGTGTGCGTGGTGCCGATGCGGGACCCGTACAAATACCTGCAGCCACACCACCCACACAGAGGAATGTGGGACCTGTGGGCGGGTACCATTTATTCTAATGACACGCCTCCCGCACTATAAGTCGCAACCGTACTGGGAACCTCCATTCCTGTACAGGCTGCGATTTCTCAGGAAGTGCAGGACTTCTTCCCTGTGTGTCCTGGGAGGCCATTCAAATGAATAGATACTCGTGCCCTGTGCAAATTGCAGCCCGCGTGGCCGCACATATGTGATCCTTTAGGAAGAAGGGTCAGCCGCACACCCGAGGATAGATGAAATATAGTGTGTATTTATTGACCGATAGGACACACAAAACACCAGGACATGAATACAGGACTTGTTAACATGTTTCACAAGATCTCGTGCTTAATCATAAATCTGGATTGTTTGCCTGAGTGGTATACCTTTTGTTCTTTGCATATGTGATCCTGACCTAATGTGGATTTCAGTGCGTTTTGCCAGTTTACAGAAACACACTACAGTCCATTTAACATGATTTCCTATGGATCTGATTTATCGGTGCCTTTTTTGGAATGGGTCAGGGACTGTTTTTCCAACTGCCAATTGCTTTTTACATGTAATAGACACATTGTTTTGTTTTGCATGTTTTCTTTTTTCTGCCAATGACTTTGATGCAACTTTGGATGGGAGTGACTTTGATGTGATTTGCATGCGACTTTGATGCAACTTTGGATGGGTGTGACATTGAAGCTACTTGGATGCAACTTTGGATGGGTGCGACTTTGATGCAACTTTTTTCTTGGGCTAATAGGAGCGTATATAACAGTTCTGTTCATGTAGTGCAACTTTGATGTGACTTTACCCCAGGTTCACACCTAAGTGTTTTATGCAGCGTTTTGCAGAAATGCACTACAGTCCAATTAAAGCGGAGTTCCACTCACACTGTAAAAAAATAAAAGTCTGCAGCTGCAAAAACTGTAGCTGCTGACTTTTAAAAAAACAGCCACTCACCTGTCCCACGATCCTGCGTTGCCCCCGCCGCAGCCCGTTTCACCAGTCGTCCTGTATTCCAGGAGGCCAGCATCTTCATTGTGGGCACCCGGCTGTGACAGCTTACAGCTTCACAGCCAGGTGCCCACTGCGCATGCGTGAGTAGTGATGTGCTTCCTGAATGGCCCCGTCGTCTTCTGAGACTTGTCACGTGTCCCAAAAGACTTCAGGGAGGGAGGGTAGGAGGACAACTTCCGTTTCTGATCTCCTAGGCGATCGCAGTGGGACTGGGTACCTGTCAAATTTGGGTATCTGTTTTCCTCCCCCCGCTCCCCAAATGTGCCAATCCTTAATGGGGAGCGGGGGACCAATCTTTAAAGCGGAACTTCCCCTTTTGGGTGCAACTCCGCTTTTAACATGATTTTCTATGGGACACGTTCACATCTCCACATTTTCACCCAGTGTGTGTTTTTTGGAAATTGAATTTTTTGAACGTTTTTGGTTCTATAGACTTCAATAGAAATGCTGCAGAAAAGCATGTAGTGTGTTTTTGATGCATTGTGCATTTTAAATCTGCCTAGCAACAAGAAAAACACCCACAAATGCATTAAAACGCACTGCAGAAATTGATCAAACACAAACTGCATAGGTGTGAACCTAGCCTTACACTCTCTGGCCTTCAAGTCACTTTGAAGTTGCACTGCATAACAGAACTGTTATATGTTGACCGCTGCTCCAAGTAGAGAGACTCCCAATCTCCAAGCACAACTCCTTCTCTAGGTGCTAGCTCAGCTCGTGTGCTGCATAGATGAGAACAAAGGACGTCCGATCGGCTGCACTCCAAACAATCCACTTTATTGGACCAAGATAAAACCAATACAGACAGTGGAAATACAGTGGGGGGCTGGCAGGTAAACGCGTTTCACGCTAAAGATAGCCCTTATATATTACCCAGTAGACCCTTGTACAAAGTGTTGGTTTTAAGCAACAGCTGTTCCTCCTAATAAACACTGGGTCCACCTCCTGCTACATCAAACTGATTTAAAGGTAAAGACAGTTTTGTAACTAACAACAATTGTAACATACACAAAATACAACACACCAACCCAAAGGAAATGTGCAAGAATTCCCGTGTTGCACAATGGAGGTGACAAAAATAAAAATTAGAGAACTGTACTACTTTCCTACTAGCCAACAAAAAAAAAGGTTGCACCCATCCAAAGTTGCATCAAAGTTTCTTCAAAGTCACACCCATCCAAAGTCGCATCAAATCAATACTTTCCTATTGGCAAAAAATACATCAAAACCGCACTATGAAATCGCACAATCCTCAATCTACATAGGTGTCAACCTAACCTGAGGTTGTTCTACACAGATCACCGCAAGGGCTCATAAAAAAAACTAGTTTTCTGTGCCCTGTTCGCACCATATTGCTGCATTGAGCTGCTGTTTGGTGTGCTTAATCAAAATACATGTGTGTGTGTGTTCACACAGTGCAACTCACTTGAATGAAGTGACCCTTCAATAGAGTGTAAAAAAGTGAACTGTGCCATGTATCGTACCAATGCATTGCACTGCACTTACACATGCATAACAGGGATGAGCTCAGCTGAGTTGGAACAGAATTCCTAAGTCATCTGAGCTATCACGCCTTGAAGCTGTCAAAGCTGACGGACATTCATAGACCGCTCAGGCATTCCCTGCTGCACGTATGCAAGTGGCATATATATATATATATATATATATATATATATATATATACAGTCAGGTCCATAAATATTGGGACATCAACACAATTCTAACATTTCTGGCTCTATACACCACCACCATGGATTTGAAATGAAACGAACAAGATGTGCTTTAACTGCAGACTGTCAGCTTTAATTTGAGGGTATTTACATCCAAATCAGGTGAACGGTGTAGGAATTACAACAGTTTGCATATGTGCCTCCCACTTGTTAAGGGACCAAAAGTAATGGGACAGAATAATAATCATAAATCAAACTTTCACTTTTTAATACTTGGTTGCAAATCCTTTGCAGTCAATTACAGCCTGAAATCTGGAACGCATAGACATCACCAGATGCTGGGTTTTATCCCTGGTGATGCTCTGCCAGGCCTCTACTGCAACTGTCTTCAGTTTCTGCTTGTTCTTGGGGCATTTTCCCTTCAGTTTTGTCTTCAGCAAGTGAAATGCATGCTCAAATCGGATTCAGGTCAGGTGATTGACTTGGCCATTGCATAACATTCCAATTCTTTCCCTTAAACTCTTTGGTTGCTTTTGCAGTATGCTTTGGGTCATTGTCCATCTGCACTGTGGAGCGGCGTCCAATGAGTTCTGAAGCATTTGGCTGAATATGAGCAGATAATATTGCCCAAAACACTTCAGAATTCATCCTGCTGCTTTTGTCAGCAGTCACATCATCAATAAATACAAGAGAAGCAGTTCCATTGGCAGCCATACATGCCCACGCCATGACACTACCACCACCATGTTTCACTGATGAGGTGGTATGCTTAGGATCATGAGCAGTTCCTTTCCTTCTCCATACTCTTCTCTTCCCATCACTCTGGTACAAGTTGATGTTGGTCTCATCTGTCCATAGGATGTTGTTCCAGAACTGTGAAGGCTTTTTTAGATGTCGTTTGGCAAACGCTAATCTGGCCTTCCTGTTTTTGAGGCTCACCAATGGTTTACATCTTGTGGTGAACCCTCTGTATTCACTCTGGTGAAGTCTTCTCTTGATTGTTGACTTTGACACACATACACCTACCTCCTGGAGAGGGATCTTGATCTGGCCAACTGTTGTGCAGGGTGTTTTCTTCACCAGGGAAAGAATTCTTCAGTCATGCACCACAGTTGTTTTCCATGGTCTTCCGGGTCTTTTGGTGTTGCTGAGCTCACCGGTGCGTTCCTTCTTTTTAAGAATCTTCCAAACAGTGTTGTTTTGGCCACGCCTAATGTTTTTGCTATCTCTCTGATGGGTTTGTTTTGTTTTTTCAGCCTAATGATGGCTTGCTTCACTGATAGTGACAGCTCTTTGGATCTCATCTTGAGAGTTGACAGCAACAGATTCCAAATGCAAATAGCACGCTTGAAATGAACTCTGGACGTTTTATCTGCTGATTGTAAATGGGATAATGAATGAAATAACACACACCTGGCCATGGAACAGCTGAGAAGCCAATTGTCCCATTACTTTTGGTCCCTTAACAAGTGGGAGACACATATGAAAACTGTTGTAATTCCTACACCGTTCACCTGATTTGGATGTAAATACCCTCAAATTAAAGCTGACAGTCTGCAGTTAAAGCACGTCTTGTTTGTTTCATTTCAAATCCATTGTGGTGGTGTATAGAGCCAAAAATGTTAGAATTGTGTCGATGTCCCAATATTTATGGACCTGACTGTGTGTGTATATATGTGTGTGTGTGTGTATGTGTGTATGTGTATGTGTGTATATATATATATATATATATATATATATATATATATATATATGTAACAATGGGCTGGGAAAATGTATCCACCACTTATGGTTAGCTATCAGCCTTGACAGTTTCTCAGAGGGATAGTTCAGGTGGGTTTGGACTCGCACACTCGATGAGAATATCGGACAAATGGGGATGTATACTATATGGAGGCAGATGCTCCATATCCTCAGTAATAGGAGAGGAGAGAAAGCGGCAGACGTTTGAAATGCCCACTGCTTTCTCTCCTTTCCTTGCAGGGATGACAGTTCGGGCTAGAGGGCTTTTGATGCCTTCTAGCCTGTACTGTCATTACTGCAAGAAGAGGAGAGAAAGCTGTTGGGATTTCAAATCCCTAGACCTGTGAAGTGGTTTTCTCTCATCTCCTTGCAGCGATGACAGTAAGGGCTAGACTGCATCTGATTGGTCAGCACTGTCCATGCGATACCTAACATTGAGAATATGGAGCATCTGCCACCATAGTATACAGTACATCCCCACACACCCACTCTCCACTGCGGGAAACCTCCCTGCACTGC